TACTCACAAAGATCTGGCTTTATATCCTGTGTCCTGCTGGTGGGATAGCTGGACTCAGCTTTGGCAATTTGCCAGCGGACCCAGCTGGGGTGCCAGGCGACTCTGGGACACAGAGGGTGGCATTCCCTGCAGGTGTGTGTTTTCCCCAAGCTCTCTGTCATATTCTCCATGCTGGGTGAGACTGGCAGCTCCCCCAGCACAGCTTTGCTACACTGGGGACACACTGGCAGCATGCTTTGTTTTTCAGGAAGATGCTTTTTAACCTCCTTTGCCTCTGATGAGGTCTCATTCAGTATTGTGCATGAGCTGCGTAGAATGGGCATCACCCCCATGTTCACAGGGCTGAAGACCATTCAGGGGCTGAGGAAGGACCTTCTGTCCCAGTCTGCAGCTGCAGTGGGGATAACAAGTCCCATTTCTTGCTTTTTACAGAGGAGTTATTTCAACCAGGGCTGGTAATATCAGCCATGACATGAGAAATCCCAGTCACTACTGTAGCTTTCCTTGGCACAGGTCACAGGCAGGGCTGTCTCAGATGGTATTGCTTCTCTGCACAGGTGTGGGGTGGTGTTGAACCTGGGACCCCTTAACAGTGCCTAGGCAAATGCTTCCCAGTGGCGAGTCTGTCCTGGAACTGGGCAAGGCTGGGTTGTGTTCTCTGCCACCTTTCAGGCACATCTTGCAACCTCTCATGCCAGGACAGGAAGTTTCCATCTCTTCTTAAGAAACTGCCTGTTCCCATGAGGAATGAGAGCCCAGCTGGGGCACATGAAGTGACCCCCAGCTGCCCTGCCCCATGTCAGTTACCTCCACCAGACTGCCCAGGTATCATCTTGGTTGCTCACCTTGCCTGCCCATGCAGATTTGATGCCTCCAGATCCTGAGCTCTCCACGAGCTCCGGCTCCTCAGATTCTGGGCCATGCCTGTCACCCTGCCCATGTCTCACCTGTGTGCTGGCAGGACTTGAGGGACAGCTGGGGCTTTGCCTCTGCCCCATGCAGGTAAGACCCCATCTGGAGAACTGCATCCAGCTCTAGGGTCCCAGCATAGGAGGGACCTGGAGCTGCTGGAATGAGTCCAGAGGAGGCCACAGAGATCCTCTGAAGACTGGAGCCAGGCTGAGAGAGCTGGGGGTGCTCACCTGGAGAACAGAAGGCTCCAGGGAGAGCTCAGAGCCCCTTGCAGGGCCTAAAGGGGCTCCAGGAGAGCTGGAGAGGGACTGGGGACAAGGGATGGAGGGACAGGACAAGGGCAGGTTGGGATGTTGGGAAGAAGTTAGGATATAGTGGAGAAATTCTTCTCTGCGAGGGTGGGCAGGCCCTGGCACAGGGTGCCCAGAACAGCTGTGGCTGCCCCTGGATCCCTGGACATGTCCAAGGCCAGGATGGATGAGGCTTGGAGCACCCTGGGATTGTGGAAGATGTCTGTGCCCATGGCAGGGGGCGGGATGATATGAGCTTTGAGGTCTCTTCCAACCCAAACCATTCTGTGATCCTGTAACTTCAGCCAATCAGGTGCTGGTTTAACCATGTTTCAGCCCCAGATGGTTTGGTTTTGACAGCATATGGCAGTGAGCCATATTTCATTTTAGCTTTATTCAGGAAAAGAATAATCTCTTTCTTTGGTTTCTTGTATTCCTTGACAGTTTCTGGCCCTTAAGGACATCACTTACAGCACTTGCTCTCACTATTTGCAGCTTCTCTGATGCACCTTATGGGGTGAGCTGAAGATCATGAGGTCTGTTGGGCAGACCCAGATCTGTTGGGTAGAACTGACATAGAGTGTGTCCAGAGAAGGCAACAGTGCTGGTGAAGGGGCTGGAGCCCCAGAGAGGCTGAGGGAGCTGGGAAGGGGCTGGAGCCCCAGGAGAGGCTGAGGGAGCTGGGAAGGGGCTGGAGCCCCAGGAGAGGCTGAGGGAGCTGGGAAGGGGCTCAGCCTGGAGAAAAGGAGGCTCAGGGGGACCTTGTGGCTCTGCACAGCTCCTGACAGGAGGGGACAGCCGGGGGGGTCGGGCTCTGCTCCCAGGGAACAGGGACAGGAGGAGAGGGAACGGCCTCAGGCTGGGCCAGGGCAGGCTCAGGGTGGATATTAGGGAATATTTCTTCATGGAAAGGTTTGTCCAGATCTTATACAGGCTTCCCAGGGCAGTGATGGAGCCCCCATCCCTGGAAGTGTTCAAAAAATGTGTAGATGTAACATGGTTTAGGGGTGACCTTGGCAGTGGCAGTGCTGGGCTAATGATTTGACCTGATGATCTTTGAGGGGTTTTCCCACCTTAATAATTATGTGATTTTCAACTTGAAGTCCCTGAAGAACCTTTCCCTCCCATTCATCTCTGGCTCAGCCACCCCCTAACACATCATCCCCCACTGCCCTCCCCAGCACCCCTGAGCTGGATGGGGCTTGAGGAACTCACAGTGATGGGTAAATGCTCCATGAACCTGGAGGCCTTGAAGAAGCATATCAGGTGAAGAGTACCATCCTCTCATGAGGCATCCTCATCTGTCAGGGGTCTTTGAGCAATATTTGTCTTGATAGAGCCTGGCTGAGAGAGGGTGCAGTTGCTGCAAGTCACAGTGATGGGTACAAGCTACTGTCACCCCCTAAAGATACTGTTGACAGGAGATGCTCTGTGACTTGTGACTTCTTGCAACTCCACCATGTGATTCCTGCATGGGCTTGGTGTTCCAAGGTGGGAATTCTCCTTCCTCAGATCCCTGTTCCAGGTCAGCAGCCCTGTCCCCAGGGAGCCAATGGCCGTGTGGCCCTGCGCATTAGCTGCCATCTCACTGATTCCCTCCTGGCTAATCCGGGCTGAGCCAGCCTGGTGTGAGCAGGACTCAGCTGCTGTCCATGGCTGTACCCACCCCACTGCCCCCCAGCCTGCGCCGAGGCTTGGTGGCCTTCAGTGGCTCCCTCTTCATCAACAACAAGACGTGGGACAGCGGCACTGCCCACACCTACCAGCCAGGTATGGGCAGAGGGCTCTGCACAGGGGGGCTTGGGAACAGGGGGTGTCCATCCCCATGACCCTGCTCAGCACATCACCAAAGCACCTGGCTGCCTCTGAGGCAGCAGCACCCAAAGGGTGCCTGAAACCACCCAACAGGGAGGGGAGCAAAAACAAGAACACTTGCTGCAATCAGCTACTTGTGGGACACAGGGTCTGTTGCTCACCTCCACAAGCTGTGACGGGGGAATGATCCCTCTGGGCAGGGGGACCCCGGGGCTGGTGAGCAGCCTGCCCATCCCTGCCTGTCCTGCCTAGCCCACAAGGTGCTGTCCAGCCTGCCCCTCCAGGTGATGCTCTACTTCAACGTCTACTACTTCCCAGTCTGGTGCCTGGCTGAGGGGATTATGCTGCACCTGAAGGTACCATCCCATGGGGAACGGGGGGATGGGAGGAGGTGCTCCTGCCAAGCCTCCCTGGGCTTGAGTAGGGGACAAAGTGGGCAGTGGACAGAGGAACCTTTTCTGGATTACTGGAGTCCCAAAATGCCCTGACCTCCATGAGAAAAGGTTGCTCATTTCTGTCTGCTAGAGATGGAAATCATGAACTTTCCAGGCAAGAATGGTTAAAATGGGGGGGAAGAGTAGGCAGAGCTGTGCACCAGCATGGTGAGATCTGGCAGAGCACAGAGAGCTGGGTATGGGGAGGAGGGCACAGGCCATGGAGAGCAGGGAATGGTGCACAGAGAAAGGGAAACTGGGCATGGACAGCTGGACTTGGACAAGGCTGTGCTCCCATAACAGTACCACCTGCTGCCTTGGCACTATCAGTTCCTGCTGGTCACAGCCTTCCTCATCCTCTCGCTGGCTGAGGGCTCCCGCCTCTACTTGGGCTACCTGGGGAACCTCCAGGAGAAGGTAAGCACTGCCTGCCCTGGCCTCTGTGCTCAGAGAGGATCAGCCCAGCTGGGGGAGCTGGATGTCTCCTCACTTATGAGCCATGTGCCCATCACTGTCCTTTCTCTGGAGGTCTACCTGGAACTCTCCTAGAAGAGAATCATGGGTGAAGCCATGACCTGGAGAGAGGAATGAAGGGGACCCATTTGCCCTCCTGCTCTGTCTCTCCACTGGGGGGGTTTGACAGCATCTCACCACAACCCAATGGAGCAGGGACATCCCCAGTCCCTGGGTGCCAAGGCCAGCAGAGGCTGATGCAGGAAGCTCCATGGGCACAGAGAGTCCCCCCAGCCCACCACTGCCTCCTTGCCCTGTCTCAGCAGGTTCTGAACTTGCAGGTGCCTGAGCTGGCTGGGTTCCTGCTCCTCTCCTTCCTGATCCAGCTGCCCCTCCTGCTCTTCCTGCTGATGGACAGGCAGGTCATCCACCTACCGCTGGAGGTGCTCATGCACAGCTTGTTCCTGGCGTTCCTCCTCCCCGAGATCGTGACTGCCTTCCTGGCACTGAGGACCATGACCAAGCAGCTGGCGGCACAGTTCTACCTGCGGCAGTTCCAGGAGGGTGGGAGGGGCCAGCTGGAGCCAGGGGGCACAGGGGGACAGGCAGCCAAGATGGGATGATGCTGCATGACCCCTCTACCCCACACAGCTGATCCTGGCAAGGAGCATTAAACAGTGCTTGAACCCACAGACACTGTTTCTGAGCTTTGTGGAGACTCCAGAACAGCACCCAGGCACAGCCCAGCTGATCCCAGCCTTGCACCAGCTAACACAGCCTAGGAAGAATGGAAGTGAGGGGTTAGCACCTCTGAAACATTCCAGCTCACCCCACAGCTGTGCCTGTCCTTCCTCAGCATCAGCCCTGGCAGGAGGCAGGAATCAGGGTGCAGGAGCCACTGCATACCCCTAGGAAGTACCAGCCCAGGGCTGGAACTTTAAAATTGGCTCCTAAACCCTCCCTGAGTTTCCCAGAGAGCTTCTGAGAATCCACATGAAGCCATCCCAGCTGGAAGCATGCAGGGTGCCACGAGGTGCAAGAGCAGCACTCCACAACCTTATAGTTCCTCCATGGCTAGAGACAGAGCAAAACCTCCTCCCACTTCCAGAACAGCTTTATTCCATTGTATCCCTGTTTTTCAAGGGAAATCAAGGCCCATAATTACCGGAACATGGAGAAATGCAAAATGCTTTAAGGCTCTTGTGCCAAGCAGTACCAGCTGCTCCCCAGCACACTCTGGGGCAGCTCTGCTCCGACACCGGCTGTCAGTGCTGGGAGCTGCCCCTAGGATGGCTTTGTGCTCCAGGAGCCAAGGACTGCTGCTGCTGCCAGTGCTTCTCCAGGAAAGGCAGAGCCTAACCCCAGCAGTGCCCACCTGGGCCAGGACTGGCCCACTTCCACCAGGGCTCAAGCTGTGTCCCCATCATATCTACCTGCAGGTAGCTCTGGAGGGAAGGGTGTTTGTGGTGGAGCATTCCCAATGTCCCTAAGCTGTGGCCTCAGGCTTACCTTTAGGGGGTCTTGCCTGCAAAATGAACAGGGGCATAAGTATACAACAGGCATGGAGGCAGCTCAGCTGGCCCTCAGCTACTCTGCTTGGTTCCGTGTAACCAGATTCACTGTCCAGGACCCCCACCCCACTCTGGATTCGAGATCAGGCATTAGAAAAGTTTCCTCCCGCCATAGGATGGTGCAGCTTTGGGACAGTTCACCAGGAGATGGGGGATCTCAGTCCTCAGACTTGGCCAGACAAAGCTGGAAATGACCTGAGGCAGGGCTGCCAGATCTCGTGGTCTGTAGGGGCCTCCCTGTGACTCCCTGATTTATCAGGGCAGTGAATTCCCACAATGGAATCATGCCTGGCACATAGATCTGTCAATGAACCACAGAACTAGATGTGCCCTCAAGAGCTGGTCCCTCTCTGCATGGCGTCCCAGCAGATGCTATGCTTCCTTTGGAAGAAGGTGAAAAGCATAGAGCTGGGTCAGTTTTCCAGGTAAGGTCTCCATGGCAACCCACTGATGGATGTTTTGACAGTAGCTGAGGTCATGTTCAACTTTCCCTGACTCCCAGCACCAGCTGAATCCCTCTCCCAGTTCAGACTGGCAACCAAGCCCAAAAGTTGAAAACTAAGAGCTGCTCCACCAGATTTTTGTTCTGATCTTGGGAACTGAGTTTTAACCAAAGGGCAGAAAATCATTAAATCCAAAATGATTCATTTCAAAACCTCCTCTCTCCCATGTGGCCCTATCCTTACCTCCTCAAACTTCTCCTTCCAATAAAGGTCAGCCTTTGCATCCAGGTAGAGCAGAACCAAGTCACAGACCACTGTAGCCTGGAGACAGACAAACACTGAAGACGGGAAACTTCCCACAGGAATGCCTGGCCTTCCATCCTGGCTCCCACTGAGCCCTGCAGCCAGCTGTGAGCATTTGCTGGGGCAGTGAGCCAGTCCTGCCTCCAGCCAGCTCCACTGGCTCCTCTCGGGCTCAACCCGGTCCCAGGAGCTGCACAGGTCAGACAGGATCCTCAGGCTGCAATGGATGGACAGGGAGGGCTGTTCCAGCACCTTCACAGTCACGTATGGACTGGGATGAGCATGTCAGGGAGGGAAGGGGGGGAGGTGGGGCACCTCCCTGTTACTCTGCTGGAAGGGCTCTACAAGGGGCTGCCCCACCATAGTGACAGGACACTGCATCCCTTCAGAATCAGAGGAGAAGCAGAGAGGAGCTGCTCTCTCCTGCCAGCAGCATTCCCAATGATGCTCTGTACCAAGAGCCACACAAAAACCTGGCCTCCATGAGATGTGACCCAGACAGCACTCAGGATCCCAATCCAGTGGTGCCACTACTAGTGGTCAGAGGGAGACCTCAGCTGACACAGTGCCAGACCATCTCCCCTCTGTGCTGGCTGCCACTAAGAAAGCCTTGTGCCCAGGCAGGCAGGGAAACAAATGAGAAGTGGAAAATCCCAAGCCATGGATTGAAGGAGAAGAGTGTATCTGGAGTACTCACGGCACCAAAGAAGGCGATGCTGGTGGCAAAGCTCACAGCAGTAGGAACAATGCTGAACTTCCCAGCCTGGTGAGAAACAGTGGAGAGGTAAGAGAGAGGGTGAAGAGCGGTCAGAGGGGTGAGAAGGCTGTGGGCTGAGCCTTGCAGGGCAGCATGCTCAAAGTCAGGAGGTGCTGGAAGGATCCAGAGATATATTTCCCCAAGCTGATTTGTAGGAACTGCTGTTGTGTTGACTCCAACCCCCTCTGGTTGTCAAAGAAGGGACTGAGGTGCCTGATGACCTGGAAGGAGCAGAGGTTACTGTGACCCACGTGCTCCTGCAGGCACAGCAGGAACCTCCCTCTTGCTGCAGCTGGCACCCATGGAACCACATCCCAGCAAATACAACCCTGATGTGATGTGTCCATCCCTTCACAAATGAGTCTGCTGGTTTTGCTTCTGGCTGTTCTCTCCACAGCTCCTGGACCTGCTCTCTCAGCCAAGAGCAAGTTGTTTCCCTGTCCTGCACTGTGTGCTTCACCTTCTTCATGTACAAAAGGCACTGCTAAGCATGAAAGACCAGCTGTGGACATCTCTCAGTGTGGGAAGTTCTCTCAGCACAGGCTCCCTCTTTGGAAAACTAAGCACTGAATTTGTGAGTGATGCTGCACAGAGTAGCACCAACAATCATGGAAACATGGAATAGTTTGGGTTGGAAGAGACCTGAAAGCTTATCTCATGCCACCCTCTACCATGGGCAGGGACACCTCCCACTATCCCAGGCTGCTCCAAGCCCCATCCTGCCTGGCCTTGGGCACTGCCAGGGATGGGGTAGTCACAGCTTCTGTGGGCAACATGTGCATGGGCATCACCACCCTCACAGGGAAGGATTTCTTCCCAATATCCCATCTCTGAGAAGCCATTCCCTGTGTCCTGTCCCTCCATCCCTTGTCCCCAGTCCCTCTCCAGCTCTCCTGGAGCCCCTTTAGGCCCTGCAAGGGGCTCTGAGCTCTCCCTGGAGCCTTCTCCTATCCAGGTGAGCACCCCCAGCTCTCCCAGCCTGGCTCCAGAGCAGAGGGGCTCCAGCCCTTGGAGCATCTCCATGGCCTCCTCTGGGCTCAGTCCAGCAGCTCCAAATCCTTCTGTTGTTGGGGACATGAGAGCAGGTGCAGCACTGCACCTGAGCAGGGCAGAGAAGCAGAATCTCCCTTTACCTCCTGCCCACAGTGCTGAGGATGAATACAAGACACAGGGTGTTTCTGGGCTCTCAGTGCACATGGCTGGGGCATGTCCAACCTTAATCACACCACACCTTTCCCCCCGAGGGTATTTTTAGTCAAGAACGGATTAGTTGTCCAGGTCAAGTAGAGTTCAGGTTGATCTTTGTCTGGGTGCTCCCACCATAACACCCTCAGAGAGAGACACCTACAAGCCCAGACCAGCTCACTTTGCCTACTGAACACTTCATGGCCCACACGTCAGACTCTCAGAGAGGGAAATCTCCCTCCTCAGGGCATTACCAAAAGGTTTTTCTTCAGATGGGAGAGACTGTTTTCTCCTGCTCTGCTTAGTCTGGGAAGAGGTGAAGAACTCACCCAGGTGGGGAGAAGTGATGGTAGCAGAAACCACGGGGTTAGAGTGGGAGCAGTGGTGTGAGGAGTCAGCCCTGGGGCTGAGGAGCTCACGGTACCTGGCCGTGCACGGAGAGGTCAAAGCGGATCCCGTACAGCTTCAGCAGGTTCCGGTAGAGCTGCTGCTGCGAGCCCCAGTAGTAGGAGGCAGTTCTGTGGGAGACATTGGGCATGGCTGAGAAAGGCGGCTCCATGCTGGCAGGGAGGGAAGGGGGTGCCAGTGCCAAAGGATTGCTGGGCCTGTGGGTTCCTGGGTGTCCTCCAGGCTGGGAACTGGGCACACACGTGCAGCCATGACTCACTGGCACCAACAGTGGGGCATCAGCATCCCCTCAGCACCCAGTCTGGGTCACTGGGAGCACAAAGCTCTCAGTGTGCCCAGCTCAGGCGGGGACAGTCACAGGTCCCTGCCCTCAGGCAGGTAATGCCCTGCTCAGCTCCAAACACAAAAGAGCTACAAAGTGTGGGAATTGCCACAGCATCCCCGTACTGACAGGCCCTGCCCTGAGTTACCATTTCCCAATGGCTTAAAGGTCTCTAAAATCTTTCAGTCTGAACAATTAATCCAGCACTATCCCATGTCCCCAGGTGCCACATCTACACAGCTTTTAAATCCCCCCAGAGATGGGGACTCCACCACTTCCCTGGGCAGCTGCATCAGGGCTGGACAAACCTTTCAATGAAAAGATTTTTTCTAACAGCAGCTCTCTGTGCATGGCAGCAGCTCTCTGGCCACAGAGAGCAGGCACAGACTTTCCCAGGCATTTTCCCGGGGAAGGCTGTGAGAAGATCAGAGAAAGGAATTAGAAACAATTCTCATCTCCACTTGTTGCACCTGCTGTTGTGCACATGTGGAATGTGCCATGGAGATTTATTTACCAAAGGGTGATTTCTTAATTGGACAGTGGATGGTGTTTGGATGGATTGACCAATTAGGTAAAAGCTGTATCAGACTGGCTGTGAGGGTTACTGAGTTTCTTAATAAGTAGAGTATCATATACTATAAGATGATATAATAAAGCAATTGATCAGCCTTCTGCAATCATGGAGTTGATGCTAATTATTACCCGGCTGGGGTCCTGCGGTGACAAACATGCAATCTAAACACTCCCTTAGTGCCACTGGGTTCATGTTCAGCTTCAGGTCCTTTTCTGGCTGCATCTTTCCAGCCTGGAACATTCCATGGCATTGTTCCCAAGACAGAACCTGGCACCTGATCTTGTTGAATCTCACACCACTGGCTTCAGCCCATGGATCCAGCCTGTCCAGTTCCCTCTGCAGGGCTTCCTTCCTCCAGCTGATCCATACTCACACACAGCTCAGTGTTATTTGTGAACTGACTGAGACACACTTCCTGTCCCCTGCTGCTTCTTTCAGAGCATCCACCAGAACTGAAATCTCAAACAACTGCCATGTGCTGATCCCATAGGCCTGTGTGGCCACTGTCCCAGCATCCTCACCTGAAATTGTACCTCATATCCTGCAGGCTGAAGGAATACTGTGGTTGGCACTGGGTAGCAGGGTGGTCCAGGTCACAGTTCCACTCGATAAGAACTCTGATGCTTCCTCCCTGCAAAACACATTTTATTCCAGGAGAAGCATGGAATCAGATTAGCCAAGTCATTAACTCTTCTGACATTCCCGGATCACATATTCCCTTAGCATTTCAGGTCACTCCTCTGCTTCTTGCGCACATCCTTGGGGAATTTTGAATAGCATTATATAAAAAACAAGTACCAGCAGTGCGAGGTCTCCAAAGCTCTCTCCAGCTGCCTCCACCATGTCACGGACACGGAACACAGGGCAGGAGGGGTTGAAGACTGGATCATATGTGCAGCTCTTGAAATAGCTGGGGTCAGTGGTTTGTAAAGTGTTGCACCTGAGACAGGAGAGAAGGGGGGCAGGGGTGTGGCAGGTCATGGAGCCCAGCTGTGGGACTGCAATGGGGACCCTCTCATTGGACTGGGCCCACCAATGCTCCTGCATCAGTGGTGGGGACAGTCAATGCCTTGCCTAAAGCCTCAGATGGAAGAGGATGGAGAAAAACCAGCCCAGAGGAATCTCACATGGAGTTATCCTCTATAGCATGTGCCATGGCTTTCCCTTCCACCTCTTGTGCTCCTTTGTTTCTTCCCAGCACCCAGCTCTGGTCACTGCTAGGGGTAGCAGCAGGGACAGTTCATGCCATGTCTCCTGCTCTGGGACTGTGGGGCCAGTGCGGCCCTTTACTTGCCTTCTGTGAAACCACTTTGTGAGGACTAAAAGACAAAAATATTGGTTTCACTTCCAAATGAGAGCTTGGGAATGGCTGGCCTTGTCTGGCTCTCTGCAGTGCTCTACATGGGCAAATGGACACCAGTCCCTCTCTCTGAGGTGTCCCCACCCCACCACTCTTAGAGCTGCACACCCAGCACAGCTGAAGTGACTGTATTTACCTCAACACCTGCCCTGCCCTAACTGCCCCAGCACCATCTGCCCTGGATACCACTGGTTCCATGAGTGCTTCAGCTCCTCAGCCCCATAACAGGCTCAGTGCCAAGGCTGGACCAGGCTGCATGCTCAGCCCAGCTGGGAAGTACTGTACTTACTTGGAGAAGTTAAATTTGGTGAAGTGGACAGTATTTTTTATAAAAAGAGTGAAATTCTCTGCCTCAGCCAGAAGAGGTTTCCTAGAAAACAACCACCAACAAACTCAAGTCTTGCACAGTGGCCAAGGCCCCATTTCCCGAGCTCTGCAGTCTCTCCTGCAACCCCAAGATTTTGGCTGCAATGGACAGGTGCAAGAAATGCTCTTGGGTGATGCCCTCTGAGTTTAACTGACCAGAAAGTCAATGCCAGCGGTCTCCCTGAGCCTGGCTGCCCCTTGGGCACATGTGGTCAGACTCCCGGTAACACAGAGGGAGGGAGCCAAAGCTCCCAATATCTGCTGTCTCCTAATGTGTGATTACCTGGGCAGGGTGCTATTCTCCACAGGACACCAGCCATAGATCTCACAGGTGGAATGGGTGGCATTGAACATCAAACATTTCCCAGTTTTTATCCCTAGAACAAGACAATATAAGACAGGCTGAGAAAGATGGAGTTGATCACCTGGAGAAGACTTTGGAGAGACATTAGAGCCCTTTCCAGTGGCTAAACAGGCTCCAAGAGAGCTGGAGAGGCACTTGGGACAAGAGCCTGGAGGGACAGGACAAGGGGGAATGGCTTCCCAGTGGCAGAGGTGAGTTTAGATGGGATATTGGGCAGGAATTGTTCCCTGGGAGGGTGGGCAGGCCCTGGCACAGGGTGCCCAGAGCAGCTGTGGCCAGGCTGGACAGGGCTTGGAGCAGCCTGGGATAGTGGGAGGTGTCCCTGCCCATGGCAGGGGGTGGAACAAGATGACCTCTAAGTTCCTTTTGAACCCAAACCATTCTAGTATTTTGTTTCTTTAGCAAAACACCCAGTACCATTGCCATGAACCACAGGGTTTCCCATGGGACAATCTGCATCTTCTGTGCACATCCCGTCGAGGACAGAGGGGCTCTGGGAGGGACAGAAAGAAGCGCTGTCACTGCACTGTGCAGCTACCTGAGGCCATGCTGTCACTCCCCCGCCTTGTTGCACTGCTGCTCCTGCTTCTCCAAGTGCTTCCCAAACTGTTAGAGACGAACATCTATCAGCCTCTAGCCAGTCAGAAGAGAGGCATGTCCAAAGGGCAATCCTTCCTCTCCATAGGACTTGTGGCCTGCTGCTCAGGAGCTACCTGAGACCTTTCAGATGGAGCTGGGAACCAGCACAGACGGATTCAGGAGGGCCCTAATGACTGAGCCCATTAAGCACCTTGTAAAGTACCATGACGAATTCCCTGGGGGTGATCTTAGTAGACTCTAAATCCAGCTTAACACAAGTTTTACAAGAGACAGGGAAAGCTTCACCCTTACTCTGGACCTACCTGATTGTCAGGAACAGTAAAAACCTCTTATTCAAACACAGAGAGATGATCATAGTTGGGGGAATACCACTAATACCTCCCCCAGCTATCCCAGGCCATGACAGGAGTCACCAGCTCATCAGAAATCCAAGTCCCAAGCTTTGAGAGGCACAGAGCCCCAAATGCAGGAGGAATCATCAGTTATGGAGTCAGAAGTTCAGGCCTTTCCTGGGCTGCCCCAGGACAGCCTCAGCCATTCATTCAGGTATAAAACCCACCAACATGATCTGGGAGGAGCAGCATCTTGGGGCTGGGTAGGGTCTCCCTAGGGGTCTAGAGTCATTATGGGATGCAGGAGAACATCTGGGTGCTGCATCGGGTGTTTAGGGAATGGATTATTTAGGGGTGGAGGAGAAGGCATGGGAAGGATAGAACTTGGTAGATGAAAAGGAACATAGAGGGATAAAAGGATACAAAGACTTAAGTGCATGCACAGCTGCTGAAACAGCTCAGCTCGTGTTTGATGCTGCCTCTGGCCACAGACAAACTCATCTGCCAGCACCAAGTACTCTAGTCATCAAGAATATTAAGACAGCTCAAACTCCCTGCAAAGCCAAAAACTGCTACTGCTAAATATTCAAAGCTTTCCAAATATGAATGTCATCTACACCCCCAATGCCAGGAACTGAGGAATTATTGGAGATCAGCATGGGGTGTAGGCTGGGACAGGCATCCACCAACACCCCAGCTCTGGAACAGAATGAAATCCTCAGCTGTGTGTGTCCTTGGCTTGCACACTGCAAACCCAGCACCTAGAGGTGCCTGTGAGAACCCCAAAATGCCCTACAGCACTTGTCTTCCTCCCTGTTGGGACTTTAGGAGTTCTCAGCATTTTAAAGATGGATCATTGGTGGCATTTTTCCCAGCCCAAACCCAGTGTTTCTCCTCCTCTGCAGCACTTGGCCACAGCATGAGCTGAAGGGACCATTAGAACAAGTGGTGCTTAGCTTAGGTACAAGGTGCCAGCAGTTGTTCAGCTTAAAGGACATCTGCTGAGCTGGGTGCAGCCTGGGAGAGCTCAGCAGAGGAGCTGGCCTGACTCCAGCCTTAAAGGGAAGAGTTCTCCCAGGGAACATATACCATTAAGTGTTGGATGGTTGGAAAACCAGCTAGACCTTGTGCTGTGTTCCTCCTAAAAAAAGGACACTAAGATGGACACTAGTCCTGCAGCAGGGCGTTATCAAGGAAACATGACACAGGTATCCATGGAATATGTGTCAAGGCACCCCCTTTTTCAAGGGCAGCAGAAAGCCTGGAACAGTCATACAGTGCCACCACACAAAGAGTTCAGGGCTGGAGAGGCCCCATGTCCCCTGTCCTGGCCACCACAAACAGTTCTGGTAGAGCATATGCATACACATCTTGGCTGATGAATGCATGACAGAGCAAGTCCAGATGTGCTGGGATGCACTATGATCCAGTGAGTATGAGGGGAATTGGTTTTTTTTGGGAATATAAATCCATTTTCCCCTTTCATCTGTTCTTCCACTGGGTTCAACTGAGTAGCAGAACCACTGGCTCTATCCCACCCCTGTGAGGCCGGGCTGGGGCAGGTCCATTCACTCACCTCGGGGCAGGTACCTTGGGCTTGCTGGATTGTGGCGATGAAATGGGTCACCAGGAAAAGCACATTTTCTCCCTGGGAAGCAAGAAGGCGCTGTTAAAGGGAGGTTGACACCAGGGTGGGTCCAAGGGGATGCCCTGTGACAGACACCATGGGTGGAAGAGGCACGAATGGGCTTGCCAGGGTTTAGGAGGCCAGCGATACCTGCGGCATCCCCTTGCCACGACGACAAAGCATATGTGTGACCTCCCCGTCCCTGCCCGGGGCCCGGCCGTACCTGCGGGGGCCAGGTGAGATCCGCAGCGTCCCAGAGCCGCCGGCCCGCGGCCTCGGCGACCGCCGCCCCCTTCACCTTCGTGACCAGGGCAACGCGCGGGGCTGTGTCGCGCTCCTGGTACCCCTTCCGCAGCAGCAGCACCCACCTGCGGAGGTGCGGGGGGCTCTGAGGGACCCCCGGCCGGGCCCGAGGGCTGGGGGGATGTCCCCACCCCAGCGGGGCCCGGCCAGCCCGAGGAAAGGCTCCCTACCCCAGCAGGTAGCCGAGCGCGCCCAGCTGCAGCAGCCGGTGCAGCAGCCCCACCCGCCGGTTCCGCGTCAGCGAGAACTTGGCAGTCTTGTAGTCGAGCAGGGACCCGCAGGGCGGGCCCGGCATGGCGGCACCGGGGCGAGAGGCGGGCACGGGCAGGGGTCAGCGGCACGAAGGACAAAGGGGGGCACGGTGAGGATAGCGGCACCCGCGAGGAAAGGCGGCCGGGGAAAGGAAAGGGCGGCCCCGGCTGCCTGAGGGCTCCCGCTGCCCCGCCCGCGCTCCGCCCGCGGGCCGGGCCGCGGCCGACTTCCCCCCACAACGGGAATCCCAGAATGGTCTGGGTTGGAAGAGACCTTAAAGCCCTTCCACTCCACCCCTGCCATGGCAGGGACACCTTCCACTGTCCCAGGCTGCTCCCAGCCCCAGTGTCCAGCCTGGCCTTGGGCACTGCCAGGGATCCAGGGGCAGCCACAGCTGCTCTGGGCACTCTGTGCCAGGGCCTGCCCACCCTCCCAGGGAACAATTCCCAATTCCCAGTATCCCATCCATCCCTGCCCTCTGGCAGTGGGAAGCAATTCCCTGTGTCCTCTCCCTCCATCCCTTGTCCCCAGTCCCTCTCCAGCTCTCCTGGAGCCCCTTTAGGCCCTGGAAGGGGCTCTCAGCTCTCCCTGGAGCCTTCTGTTCTCCCAGCCTGTGCTAAACCAGTACCCAACCAAGGAATGGGCAAATTTTCTTTCCCGCTAATGAAAATTATGTCATTCCTCTGGGTGTTGAAGCAAACCAAGTTTTTCATCAAGGATACATCAAGGACCCATTGCAGCCTGCCCTGATGGAGGTTCTGGGACCTACCAAAGCCCAGGATTCACCACATGAGATGTGGTATTTGTCAGCAGAGGGGATTTGCCAGCAGACTGCTTTGAAGTGCTCAGGAACCAGAATCAGCTCCTTCCCTGGATGCAGGTGGGAGGATGGGATGTGTAAACGGGTCAGTACACCTCAGAAAGAATTTTTCTTTATGTCATGTCCTCACATTTTTAATTAATATTTTTAGGAAAAAATTATAAACCTTCTGTTTTAAATTAATATTTTAAAATTAGTATTTTCAGAAAGAAATTATAAACCTTCTGTACATTCATGTCGGGTAGTCCCACCTGAAGCTGCTTTCAGCAGGCACAGCATCTTAGAAATGTGTAGTTTGGACCATAAAAGAGAACAGTCTTTCCTACTCATTTTTGATGTTAAACCTTTTTGTTAAGTTTATTTTGTCTGGAATATTCTCTGAGGTCCCTTCCAGTTAATTTTCCTGTCTCTAATATCCGTGGATGGAGAAAATAATTTGATTTTTTAGTATTTTTTGTATAATCACAAGGTCGTGGCCATGCTTCTGTTTAACTGTAAATATTTCTGAAATGCTGTGTGCCAGATCCATGTTCTCCCTGGGTGGTGTCTTTCATGCAAAATTCAATGTCCACTCCATCCACTGCTTTACAATCTTCAGCCCTCACACATCTCACTCACTATAGCCTCCTTTTGAACATCCTTCATGTCTTCAGTGACCTTCTTTGGTGCACAGGAGAGAAAACAACCTTATTCCTCGCCACTTCTAGCCACCAGGAACACCCCAGCCATCCACCTTGTTTGTTCCAAGTTCTGTGCTGCTTTCTTTCCTTGTTTACCTTTGAAGGCTGCAGTGGCTGCTTGTCACCACCCCTGTCCTCCTCATCTCCTGTTCCTTTTACAGTCCAGCAGTTCTCCTCAGCTGTCCCGGCTTCAGGCATGGTCATGTTTTCCCTTTCATTTGTCCTAGTTGACACCCTCATTTTTTTTCCTGCCCCACTGGAAACTCACAGAACACTTCTGAGGAAAGCTATTCGGATATTCTGGGAAGGCTCCAGGACCGTGAGGGTGTGGGAGCTCCCTGGCTGCTCGGGATCAGCTTTCGGGCTCCACCAGCTGGAGAACGAGCAGGGCACTCACAGCTGTACTGTGAGAACCGGCCCCTGGCTTTGTCACGCTGATTAGACTTTCAGTCCCTCTTTGCTGTCTTGGCAACATGAGGTCAAAGAACATAGATGCTTCACTGTCTGGCAGCTTCTGCTTTGGGCTTGTGGTAAATGAGCTAGAAAAAGATGTAGTTTTAATCATATAGAGGTAATACAGACAGTTGCAGAGAAGTACGTGAACCAACCCAAGCTTCCTTTTAACTCTTAAACTGTTTGGTTTCATGATTTTTTTCTTAGGGGAGATTTTTGGAATGGCTACAGCAGAAAACATTGGATTAAACTTAGAATCAGCTGGAACCATTTCCATAGCCAAGGGCAGCTGCCTTGGCCAAAGGCTTGGAGCAGGGAATTGTTTTCTCTCCTGTTCTTAAACTGTGAAAGCTCACATGAAGCTGATATGCTGTTAGCCTTGTGCCTGTGCCTGTCCAAGAGTCATCTATGACCTGGGATCACATCTTGGAATTAAGAGCGAAAAATTATCCAGTATCTATGGACATATCACAGATGTTCTAATTTCTCTGTTTCTAGTTTTCTTCCTTTTTTTAGAGTAAAAATTTCTATAATGAATGTTTTGAATGGTTTAATTGCTGACTCATAAATCAATACAGATATTGTTTTGTAGTCTATATATTTTTTTTTATTCTACTAAAATTTTACTCACCAAAATAAAAACCAGTTCTTCCAACCTCTGAGGCTGAAACAGACTACATATTGGTGGTTAGTGGTGAGTTGACATTGCTGGGTTAATGGTCTTAGAGGTTTTGCCCAACTTAAATGATTCTGTGATTCTATAAATTTTATCTTCTTTATTTGAAAATAATTCCATTATTTACCCAGTGGGGTCTGTCCTATAAATGTGCAAATCATTTTATAGTTATGTGTCTAATAAATCAAGCCTGTGCTTTTGTCTCAGGACTGTCTGTCCAAACCATTTGCATGTTGTAAATACGGGCTGCAGTCTTTAAATTTGGGCTGTCTCAAAAAACATCAGAACCATCCTGACACTCACTCAGATTCCAGATGAAAATTTTGTGTATTGAACACATAAGCTTTATAGGGCTTGGTTTAAATCAGTGTAAGTACTTATATTTTAAAACATTTTTTGCCATTTATTGCTTCTGTTATGTCCTTTGCCTCTAGCCCTTCCTGTGTTCTCCAAAGAAGAGATGCAAATTAAAATGCTATGAAACAGTACACTCCAATTCTTCACCCACTGGAGAGGATCCACTTGCCCGTGTTTTGACACATGTATTTGTTTATCACTAGAGTCAGAGCTGTGTGGTTTTAGGCTCAACAAACCTATCAAGAAACCATTTGGGAACCTAAACACACCAGGTGACCCAGCAGTGTTATACCAGGCAGTGTCACTGGGATAGGGCCCTTGAGCATCCTGGTGTCCTGTGGTTTGATGGGTGGCTAAGGGACAGCGAGCACAAGTCTGCCTTGTGCCCAGCTGGGATTTGCCTTCCCGGAGGGCTGCTGGGAGAAGAGGGAGCAGGCAGCTGGACCTGGCCGGAAGGACTGCGTGGGAAGCTGGAGGGATTTGTTGTGCTTTGGCAGCTGCTGCCAAAGGTTGTGAGGAATTAACATGTAGGGACTTACTCTGAGAACTGTAATTCTGTTAGACTGAAATACTGGTTACTCCAAATTTACCTGCTGATCTCCACAGCTGGAATCACCGTTCCTCTTTCCTCAAAATCAATTGTGTTCTCTCTATGTTGGAAACCAATCTTGGAATAATTCACCAGAAGACTTGTTGAATCCTTGTTCACAACGGATTCAATGGTTCTAGTAGTGAGCCTTTTTTTTTTTTTTTTTTTTTTTTTTTTTTTTTTTTGTGTCCAAGTGTCAATTCCATATTGTTCCTTTTTGTTTTCTTTGCAAAAGTGACAGATAGCAGTTGGATGCCTCATGAAGGTGTTACAGCACACCAGCACTGCTTCCAGCTGCCTGTTTCTGGAAAATGAGCATTACTACTCCAGGGAAGCAAACTGCCTGATTCCATGGGGAACTTCTCTGGTGTAAGTTACAGAGGTGATCCCAAAGTTCTAGCTGTAGCAGCTACTAACTTTGGAGGCAGGGCTGGGCAGTGGAGCCTTCAGAGTGGCTCCAGCTGCTCTCCCCACACAGAAAAGCTTTTGTGTTGTCCAGGTATTTTTCTTGAGCACTTTCATCTCCTTTAGGACATCGAGTGTGCTGCCATGCCCAGAGGTGCATTGGCTTGTCCCAGCAAGGACTGGCTGCCCTAGAATGCTTCCAGCCTAGCAAGACAGGTGTGGGATAAGCAGAAATCAGCCATCCTGGTTCCAGAGGAGTCACTCGCTGCAGCTCCTTCCTGTCAGCATCTGACAGATTTTTCACAACCTCAGGCCAAGCTGTCATTGCCTCAGGAAACATTTCTGGTCTCCTGCCTAAATCTTCCTCATGGCAGTTTCTGTCCACTGCTTCGTTTCATGCCTCCTGTGCATGTGGGGAAGATTTAGTCTCCTTTTATAGAATCTGTAAGGTTGGAAAAAACCACTAAGATCATCGAGGCCAGTAGCTGCAGTTTTGTGTCTGTGTGGTGTGTTACATGTGGGGAAACGGCCATTTCCTCCCTTGCCCCCAAAGCAGATGCAGCGGATGCATCTGGTGTTGGAATGGAACCTCTGCCACAGGGATGGGGCCACACCGTTTGTTCCCTCGCTTACGCAGCTCCTTGGAAAGTGCTGAGACAGGAAAAGCTGTGGCTGCGGGGGCTGCTGAGACACAGCACAAACATTTCTGGAATGACCTGGGCATCTGTCTGCCTGACCACCATCACATCCTGCAGGGACAAGGGGACAAGAAGACTGCCTTGCCCTGTGCCATCTTTTAATGCCCTACCATTCCCCAGCTGGTGGTAGGAGCAGATACACGACTGCTGTCATCCTGGAATGCTGCGTGATGCTTACCTCATCTTCGGGCTGTGTCTGCAGGAGGAGGAGGGGAGCAGGGCAAGATATTGAGAGGATTACTTACAGCCGGCCTCCCTGAGCCCTGCAGCTTGTCTGTGCTGCTTTCAGAGCCGGGGCAGGGGCGGGGAAGAGGAGTGGAGAGGGATAATTTAGGAACACGAGGCTGGGAAGTGATTTAATTAGGACGTGGAGCTGCTCTCTCCTGAGTGCAATCCACCACCCCCTTCCAGTGCTTGGGGCTCCCCTTTTTCTCCCTCCAGCATGGACAAGGTTCAGATACGCAAGCAGCTGCTTATTCCAGTTA